GATTTAAAATTTTAACTTTCAACACCCTGTATTTCCGAAACTATTAACTTTCGGATAAGGCATGTTTGCGCCAATCGTCACCATTTCACGTGTAGTATCTACAGCTTTCGACTTTCCCATTGTTAATGAATCACCCTGTATATAATCACTGTTGCATTATCTGCGTTAAGTAAAGTATGTAGGTACTTTTCAATTTTATTTGTAACAAAATATCTACATCCGTTTTACATTTCAAAATGAAAAAAAAGCGTGGTGTGTTCGCCATTTTCGTCCTGTTCATGTTTCATGATGCCTAGACAAATGATACCTGCATGACATCATTAACGAGATGAGATTTCGATTTAAAACAAATAGTACCTACATATTTGATATATAAACCGAAAATTTAACTTGATTGTAATATGTAAAACGTAAGCTTTACCCATAAATAAATATAAAGTTTTTTAAATTTTATTGTAGTCATCACTTGTGAGTATTTTGAATCATTAGGTATACAGGACGAGGGTACGTATAATTGTTGATATTGGCTAGTTTTAGAGGAAGTTAGACCATCCACGGCTAGAGGGCAGTGCAATCAACCCTCTCACATCTAAGAACGTTTCTCGCAATTCGCAATAAATTGGTCAGAATTTGTTTTTTTCAATCATTTCCCTAAATTTCTGCCACTGAAATATTTTTTTAGGTCTCATAGCTATAAAGACTAATGATGTTTCTACTCAGAATTAGTCATTTTAATTCCTCCGGTTTTCGAAATAAGGGACGGCTTGTACGGAGCCCCTGTATAGTATATTTAGGTCAAGTGATCAAGCTTTCAAGATAATAAGACCCCTGCATCACTTTCTGGGAATTAACTGCATTTGGGGGGACAGATAATATTGCCGAAAAACGGCAAGGCGGATTTCTATGAAGACATCAAATCTTCTGTGACATTTGGTCTAAAATAATGCTTATTTATTTTTTCTTTTTTATTATAAAAAGTGCATATAAATTTATCTCTCAACGTGAGAATACCACAGCAGTTCTCAACAGTTTTCTCTTAAAAGAAATAAAAATCTACTTTGTATTAGTTTTAATAAAAAGTATTTATTTTTAATTATTAAAAACTATGATTTACATGTTCTATATATTATACTAATTGTTGTTTAAAATGCATGTACACTTTTAAGATTCACTCTGAATATTGGTAATGAAAACGATATATTTCTAAGCATAGACAAAGCAGGTGTATATTGCAATGTATTTATATTAATACAGTTGGTTACAAGTTTTTCAAGACACGTTTTACATTTTACTTCATATGCACATATTTATTGTTGGTATCTTAAACGTCTGACTCAATTTTGTGCTTCAATGTCACACCCGCAAACATGTTTTGTGCATTAGTTGATGTCGAGGGGCGATCCGCTGATGTAATCTTCGTACGTTTGCCTTGGAATCTTTATGTAATATACGTAATCTTATCTGTAATCTATGTAATCTATCTGTAATCTACATAATCTTATCCGTAATCCTCGCTGTAATCTATGTAATCAGCTAATGAATTTCGTCGATGTAGTCGTTATACAACCCCCCCCTCCTACCTCATTTTCCAAAGAATGCCACAGAAATCTCGACAGAAACCTATATGGTGCGATTGGTGTGTTCCGAAGGGCAATCCGCCAAGGAAAAAACAGACGAAGATTACAAAATTTCTGAAATCTCTTGTAATGTATCTGCAGATTTCAATATCAATTCAAAAAATATTACAAATTTCATATAAATAATCAAGATTACAACACATTTCAGGAGATTTCAGAGTTATTTTAGTAGATTTCAATGATTACTTAAGATTTCAATAGGATTATTAGAAATTAAAAGAATATTTCAAAATTTCTTAATAAGGTTTCAAGGAATACGGGAAGATTACAATAAGTTTTGAATGTCCATTTGAACAAAAATAATTGAATTAACTTCAAATGTCATTAATTTCATTCATTAACAGTAGTACTTTGATTAAGAATTTCCAGTATCAGGCATTTTTTGGGCAAAAATTGTAACATTCTGATTAAGTTTTTTGTTCGAATGAACGTTAAAAACATTTTGTCATGACAAAAATGATAATGCTATTTTGAAAGTAGGTAAGTATTTTCCCAAAAACTAATAAATAAAAAATATATTAAGCTTTTATTAATACTTGCATTTAATACTTTACTTGTATACAGTGTGTTTAAAAAAGACGCGGCAATATTTAAGGGAGTGATTGCTCAGGTCAGTTTATAAAAAAAGTCCTATAAACATAGGTCCGCAAACGCTTCGTTACCGATCTACAGAATGTGAAATTTCATTAAAAAACAGTAAAAATTAAATTTCTCTAAAACGCAGCCCCTTATTATTACCTACTACAAACAACAGTATGTACCACATTTCAAAAATCAATCAAATTTGATAATTTGAATTTCTTTGTTCAATAATTTAAATTTCTCAATTAAAACAACATTGGGTTTAGGTGCGCAATAAAATGTTTTTTATTTTTTTACTCAATAACGGTGTGACGTACGGTGCGTATAATCTGAGGAAAGCTTTCTTCTTCATAATTGAACAAGGAATTAAAAAATTATATTTTTAGAAAAACCAGCGGCGTCCTATTTTTTTCATTAAAAATAGCTAGTCACTGGTAAGACTAAAAAATCGTTTTGTATTGCAAAGTACGCGTCTGCCATAGCTATTGACAGGCCTAAAATTTCATTATAATATCAAGAGGTTTTGGAGAAATTTAATTTTTACTGTTTTTTTAATGAAATTTCAACATTCTGTAGATCGGTAACGAAGCGTTTGCGGACGTATGTTTATAGGAACTTTTTTTTTAAAAAATGATCTGGGCAATCGCTCCCTTAAATATTGCCGCGTCTTTTTTAAATACACTGTATACAGGTAAAGTATTAAATACAAGTGTTAATAAAAGCTTAAAATATTTCTTATTATTTATTTTTTGGGAAAATGTTTATTTTATGTTACTTCTATTTTTTTTTTTTTATTAGTTTATTGGATTATTATATTTTTATCTTTCAATAAAAATATATACTTACCTACTTTCAAAATGGCGTTATCATTTTTGTCATGACAAAAAGTTTTTAACGTTCATTCGAACAAAAACTTAATCAGAATGTTACAATTTTTGCGTAAAAATGATACTGGAAATTCTTAATCAAAGCACTACTGTTAATGAATGAAATGAATGACAGTTGAAGTTAATTCAATTATTTTTGTTCAAATGGACATTCAAAACTTATTGTAATCTTCCCGTATTCCTTGAAATATTATTAAGAAATTTTGAAATCTTCTTTTAATTTCGAATAATCCTATTGAAATCTTAAATAATCATTGAAATCTACTAAAATAACTCTGAAATCTCCTGAAATGTTTTGTAATCGGTTGAAAGATATTGTAATCTTGATTATTTATATGAAATTTGTAATTTTTTTTAATCGATATTGAAATCTGCAGATACATTACAAGAGATTTCAGAAATTTTGTAATCTTCGTACGTTTTTTCCTTAGCGGATCGCCCCTCGGTTGATGTCTCCTCAAGGACTTCTTACGCTTGGTTTCACAATCGCATTGATACATCTGAACTTGTGATGCGCATCTCTGTGTGTTCTCAGATGAAGGATGAAATATTTTTTATACATCGGGTCATACTCACATACTTATACATACTCACACGAACACTTGCACTTGTGAAGGCTTCTTATGCTTCAGTTGGTATAACTGCTGTATTTAGTTTGGGGCATCTTCAAAGACTCCTCACGCATGGTTGTTAACTAATCATATCCGCACATTTGCATTTAAAAAGGCTCTCCATGCTTCAACATGTGACTTCTGATATTATTTGTTTACTTATACATTTGAACCTAAGAAGGATCTTTATGTGTTAGTTGGTGCCTTTTGATACTACGCTTGTATTTAGTTTCGAAACTGCAGTTGTCACATTTATACATTTGAACCTGCGAAGGACCTTCATGTTTCTGTCGGTGCAGTTTGAAACCGCACCTGTATTTAGTTTCGTAATCACAGTCGTTACACCTGTACATTTGAACCGGTGAAGATTTTTTAAGACTCAGTCGATGCCTTTCCATACAATACTTGTATTTAGTTTCGAAACAGCAGTTGTTACACTTATACAATTGTACCTGCGAAGGATCTTTATGCTTCAGTTGGTGTTCTTTATGCTTCAGTTGGTGTTTTTTGATAGAACTGCTATATTTAGTTTCGAAACCACAGTCGTTACACTTATACATTTGTATCTGCGAAACATCTTTATGTTTCAGTTGATGCACGGTGATGCTATCCTTGTATTTAGTTTCGAAATTGCAATTGTTACACCTATACGTCCGAATCTGGGAAGGAATTTTGTGCACCAAAAGATGCTTAGTTTCACAATCGTTGTCACTACACCTATGCGTGTGGTCCTTGTTATGTGTCAGACGGTGCCGTTTCATACTCCTCTTGTATTTAGTTTCGTATTCGCAGTCGTTACATCTGTACGTTTGAACCTGAGAAAGATCTTTATGTTTCAGTTGGTGCTGTTCGAAATTCATTTTGTATTTAGTTTTGTAATCGCAATCGTTACACATGTACGTTTCAACCTGAGAAGGGTCTTTATGTATTAGTTGGTGTTTTTTGTAATAACTCCTGTAAATACTTTCGTAGAGGCAGTAGTTACACTTATACACTGGAAGCTGTGAAGGATTTTTGTGTTTTTTCAGTTGATGCTGTTCGATATGACACTTGTGTTTACTTTCATAATCACAGTCTTTACACCTGTATATCTGGACCTGCGAAGGATCTTTATGTTTCAGTTGGTGCTGTTTGATATTCTTGTTGTATTTACTTTCGTAATTGCAGTCGGTACACCTGTACATTTGAACTTGAGAAGGATTTTTATGTTTCAGTTGGTGCTGTATAATAACATGCCTGTATCTGGTTTTGTAATCACAGTCATTACACCTGTACATTTTCACCTGTGAGGGATCCTTATGTACCAACTGATGACTGCTAAGAAGTATCTTTTTCTTTGATGTGTAGTTGCAAACTTTGCATTTATAAATCGGCTGTTCCTCTTCTCCATCTTTACAGACACCCTCCTCGAATGGTACAAAATTGGAGCTCTGTAGTGGTGTGTCGCTGAAAAAAATTACATATACAGAGTATTTCTTAAAATCAGATTTTAATTTTAAGCAGTTTTTGGTTTAAAGGTGCAAAGTATTAAACAGGATTCATCCAATTATAAGTTCATGAACTTCAATTTTATTAATAGTGAAATAATTTTCATGCTGCTCAAATAGTATAAGAATGTATTAAGTTGAAATAAGGCAAGGAATTTCCCAATAAAATTCTAATATTAAGTCAGCTCACAGTAAGAATACTCGTCAATTAAATAATACATAGTACAACTAGTATCATTTTAATTTTAATTATGAATCAATTAAGATTTTTCAAAATGATTTAATTATCAAAAAAGATATTAGCGTGATGTTCTCCATAAAGCCACACAATAACACGAAAAGATACCGATAATTTAAGTACAATCTACAACGGCACTATTAATAACTTTATTAAAATTTAATCAAATAATGACACCCAGTATATCACCTTTTTGTTTGTCAATGTTTTTTAGTATTTGTTGTTACCTTATCATTAATTTTAATTGGTTATAGAAATTAAAGGATAAAAATAAAATCCTAAAGTTTTAGGTGATTTTCAAAAGGCTGTAACTCAACGAAAAAACGTCGTAGAGCAATAAAAGAAAGCAAATTGAAGCTTGAAGCTTCTAGTTTCAGGATCTAAACGTCGATAATTTTTATTGAAAAATTTTCTTTATAATTTTTGCTTCCCTTTCAAATGGTCCACGAGTTTCAATCTATTTTTTTTGGCAATCCCACCTGTCACCTTTTTTTTATGATTTGTCGCTGAGTTATCGTCGTTCAAAGCAGTAATAATTTTTTTGGCTTTGACAATTAATTACTCGGGAAATCTAAGCAGAGTTTTGAAAACTTCAAAGTATCCTCCATAAGATGTTCTTATTGTTTTTTTTAATTTTTTGATGCATTGCAAGAAACTTCATTCAAAAAAAGGTAACAAAATTTCGCATTTAAGAATCTTCGCTGAATTTATTTTTTAACTTTACAAATAATGAATTGACTAAGGATATTTCTGTTTTTTTTTTAGGCATTCAAAATAAACCTTCAAGAGCTCAAACTGCAGAGATTTTTCTTTCATTGTGATCCGAATGACTATATTAAAATTGTTACTTTACTAAAAATCAAATAAAAGATAGCTTCTTTCATTAATATTTTTAAATCAAAATTGTTTTTTTTTGCAAAAATCTATATTTTTCAAATCAAAATACGTCAAATATGGAAAAAATGGAAAATTGAAAGCAGTTTTTTTCAAAACTAACCCTAAAATCTTTTCTGTATATTCGAAAAAATGGATATTGTGAAAAAAATTAATTTTTTTTCAATGTTTATTAGCATGTTTTTGGGTTTTGTGCAAAAAATTTGAGAGATTTACAATACCTAGATAGCGTAACTTATGCTATATCGGATTGCACACTTGTGTAACTATATTCATTTCAAAGCTCTCTCATTAGGCTTTACTTTTTATTACGTGTCATTTTGCTAAAATGTAAACATCATAGTCATTTTACAATATGACAACACTCGACCACATTGCTCATAAAGTCAAATAATACTTAGAAACGCCGAAATAGTATGTTTTACCCCACCTGCCATATTTACCAGTTATTTCTCTATCGGATTCTATATCTCTTCCGATTCATGGAACATGGTCTGGCTAAGCAACACTTCCAATCTTATGAAGATATGATCGATTAGTGGATAGCATCAAAAGATTAATTATTCATCATGGCTAGCAATGAACAATGAAAAATAATGTATATAATCTTTCACAATAGTCTTGAATTTATAAAAAAATCCCTCAAAATTAATTCACAGCCCTAGTATATACCTTTTGCATACCTAGATTTCTGGTACCAAAGAAAATTGTTCGACTTCATTTGATAACATTGTTTAGAAGTTTTTCGAATTTGAATTAGCTTTAAAATAGCATAAAAATTAATCAACTGTAAGAATAACTTAATGTGAGTGTACAAATCAAGCCAAACTGGTTTTCTTGTTGCAATTTGCTTACATAACCACTATTATTTGCTAACTCAGTGAGAGATCTGCCCTCTTCGTTCAAGATTTCGATTTCTGCCAAAATTAAAAAAAAATTAATGAACGAATGCAATCTAGTACAGCATTTTTTGCATTCATATCTAATTTAAAGCCATACCGACTGTGTTATGATTTTACATATTTTCCCAATCATTTATTAATGATTATTTGAAAATTTGTACAATTTCATTTATAGCAAATATAAGCATATAATTTATTACAATTAGTTTATGACCAGACGGTATGTTATTATGATGTTAGAACTACATGCTGCCATTTTTTAAAATAATGTTAAAATGCTCTTTTCTTACCTTCCTTCCTCATCTTCCGATTTTATGTCGACACATTCAGCTTTGATCGACATTTCCATCTCGCTAATATCGAATTCTTTGTCCAAGTTTTCAGTCTTAACCAATAAATCAGGTGGTGACATATCTATTTGACATTCTGTGGCTGAACAGTCAAAAATACTTTTAATTTTTTCCTCTACCTCCAAGCAATCTTTTAGGAAACTGTTATGAGTGCACAAAGATTCAAAACACGGCTTACATACAATGGGATCTTTGACGATGTTTATAATCTGCAAAGTATAGTTTTTTAAATTCTGAAAACTGCCAGTATTTAATATCATTGATACCATTTCAGGAGCTAATTTCTCAATAGCTTCAAGTTCCTCTTCACATATACACCTAAACTCACTTTCTACCGGGTGCATACACAATCGACATATATTTTGACTGCAAGAAATATCAACTAACTCACTTTTCTTTTCCTGCATGTACACTTCTCTCAAGTCGAGCTGTAACATTTTTTCGCTATCCACATAAGGAATAATTGTGTTATCGGTATTCAGACAAGCCGACTTAAATTCTGATGCCGTATTTAACTTTCTTCTGCAAATGTTACATATAACCTCTTTGCTCTCGCTATCAAATTTCTGAAAAATATGCAACTTGAAACAGAAAGAAAATAACTGTGGCAGAAAATAACGATTAAATATAATGGTACTGTTAAGATCCAATGTAATTATATTTCACCGACTTACCAATTTCAGCAAAAGAACATCTAGAATGTATCTGATAATGGTGTCTATCATTTTAAAACTTTTATCGGTTATCTTTTTAAGGCAAAGCCTACACGAAGTTTCCTTAACATCAGTCATTGCTTTGCAACAATCTTATTTTAAGTCTAAAACGAAAATAGAACACATAAACAACAATATAAACCCGTTACTTCTAACCTTTTCGGTTTCTTCCAGCAGCGGGCAGCGCAGACTGCAGAGCACAATGCACATCCTGCAGAGCGAAGTTGTGGTTAGGAATAGAGATGGGAGTTGAGCGAAACGAGACTGATCCGGTTCACTGGGCCGGCTCTTTCTTAGTACTTGTCCGACCTCTTCGTGTCCTGACTAGGTCGCGTCCTGCTGAATTACCAAGACAGACACGACGACTTGACGATACTCGGATCGACAGAACCAACACATAACGGACCCGTAGGAAGCCTTGACGTCAGCGACATTGCCCTCTTAAAATCTATACCATTAAATGCTCTTATCTATGCCTCAATGCTCAGATATAGAAAATCTGAGTGCTCTAGTCGCCCTTGCTTATTTGTCAGATTAAAGAATGATCTGAAATTTGCGCATGCGTGTTGTTTATAGGTATAATAAAAAAATTAAAAACAAATGTTTCGTTATGTTATAAAGAAAGATTGTTTTGTTGTCTGTTGACTGTGAACTTCGTTTCGTTCTCCTCAGTTGTCTTGTGTAGAAAAAATAAATAAAAAATGGCAATATGTCAAATAACAATTTAGATATGGTAGATGTAGATGAATATTATTACCGTAGTGGTACACATACAGGTACCACTTTTCTCAATTATTTGTATAATTATTGCATGTATATAGCGATAGAGGTTAGATTAGATCGGTTTCGACTAGGTGCTTACGAAAATAGTCAATTTAAAAGAGCACTCTGACCAGAGTAACCAGCGCTCGGATCAGTTGGTCAGAAAAATTTTCGTAAACCCCTACTAATTGTACGATCAAACGAACTTACCTGTGAAGTTCGATCGTAATTATATGAGGCGCTCCGTCCGAAGAGATAACTAAGTAGTACGGCTTTCAGTCGCTAGATCGAGTCACTGTTTTAAAGTTTCCTGTTTTAATTCCCCTTTCTATGTCCCTCTACTCTAACCCGCCATAACTCATAGGTTTTGAAGTTGACAATGTATTTTATATACATTGTTTCCAAGAAACAAAAATTGGGAACTAAAGGGAGGGCGGGAGTTATCTCTTCGGACGGAGCGCCTCATATAATTACGATCGAACTTCACAGGTAAGTTCGTTTGATCGTACAATTATATTTCGGCGCTCCGTCCTCAAGATAACTAAGTAGATGTTTAAAGTTATATTTTTGTTTCTGTAATAAAACTAGAATTATTGACATAATCCTGTTTTAATTTCACAGTATATATAGAAAACCAAGATTTGTTACACAAACAAGTTATTTTTTAGATAAAATGCAATTTGCAAAACTGTTCTGTTCATAAAGAGGTCTATTATAGAAGCGGGAAAAAGTCTGTGAATTTTTCGACCATCCTGCCGTTTTTCTAATAATATCCAATGACAGGCCAGCTCTCAATGCAGATGAGGTAGCAGCATGTCTTGTACAATATGCTGTAAAAATATTTGTATCTATTCCTGCCTCCTTTAAGGTGGTTTTAATCCAACGACTTATTGTCTGTGAAGTTGCTGTTTTATGCGGAGGCTTCCATGTAAGAAATAAAAATTCTGACGTACCTCTTAGCTCCTCTGTTCTTTCCATATATGCGAGCAATGTGGAAGCAACACAAAGTTCTGGCTTATCCTTGAAGAATGGTATCTGCAAACATGGTTGCGGAATACTTCTATGGGAGCTTGTCTTAATACTGTCTGGTATCAATATCTGAATACCTGCCTCTGAAATAACTATGTTTTGCACTCTTATCAACCCAAGAGTCTGTATGCGGTGTGCCGTTATTAATGCTATTAGAGTAACCAATTTTTTAGTCAATTTTCCTAACGATAACGTTTCATTAGGAAATAAAGGAGTCAGGAAATCCAACACTTTTTGTGGATCCCAAATAAAATTGTATTTCCTCCTTGGTCCTCTTACGTTGGCAATTCCTTTGAGAAATCTTCTAATATCAACATTATTTCCTATATCCCCTGGTAAAATCAAGGCTAAAGCTGAACGATGGGTATTAAATGAACTGTAGGATAGTTGTTTGTCATCATATTGTTTTTGAAGAAATTGTAATATGTTGAATATTGTTGCTTCGTATATGGAAATTTTGTATGTGATACAGAATTCCCACCAAGCCTTGTAAACGGTGTTATACTGCTTTTTTGTAGAACTTGCTAATGAGTCTAGTAATATATTTAGACTGGATTCTGGAACATTTCTCACTAGGAAACCCTGCCTGATAACTTGTTCACAACCAGGATAAGTGACTCCGCCAATGGATGTACTTTCCTAAAAGGAGATTTAACAAGATTATTATCAGGTCCAAAATAAATTGCCTCAGAGACAGACATTTCCTGAAACAAAGGATACCATGGTTGTGATGGCCAAAATGGAACAACCATAATACCTTCGGCATTATCTTTTTTTATTTTATTTAATACCCTTAAAATTAATGCAAAGGGTGGAAATGCGTAAAAATAATAAGGGCTCCAAGACAAAGTAAAAGCATCTACTCCAACAGACCCAGGGTCCGGTAACCAAGATATATAACATTTACATTTAAAATTAATATTTGAGGCGAATAGATCAATATCTGGTTTACCAAAAGTATTAGTTATAATTGAAAAAATATCCTTAGATAGTTCCCATTCTGTCTCTAAAGACAACCTTCTTGAATAAGAATCAGCTTTATTTTCCTTAGATGGTACATAAGAGGCATGAATCCAAATGTTTTTATTCTTACACCACTGCCAAATTTGTTTTGCTAATTTATTTAATTTTTTGTTTTGTGTACCTCCTAAGTAGGATAATGCTGTTGTATTATCAACTCTAATTAGAATATTACAAGAAGATTCATTGAGAGTAAAGCATTTTATACCATAAAATATTGCTTTCAACTCTAGAAAGTTTATATGTTGTGATTTTTCTAAATCATTCCACCAACCAAACGTGTGTTGATCTGAACAGCATACACCCCAACCTAACAGTGAGGCATCTGTAAATATCTCTAGTTNTCTTACAAGTAGAAATAGTTTTGAAATATTTTAAAAGTTGTAAGATTTTACATTTTTTCTCCTCTGGTAAGCTAACTGTCATAAGGTTGCTGTTGAAAACAAACCCCAAAAATTTACAACTCTGAGATGGTAATAAACAACTCTTATCATAATTGATAACAAAACCCAACTTGACCGAGTCATGTACAAACATTATACTCTCTTGGCAGTTGACTTTGGTTTTTCCCAGTATTAAAATATCATCCAGATATATCACATAAAATATTTTTTAACCGAAAAAATGATACTACCGACTTCATAATCTTGGTAAAAATATATGGCGCTATTGATAAACCAAATGGAAGACAGTTGAACTGAAAGAGTTCATTTTGATGCGAAAATCTCAAAAATTTTCTATTATCATTGTTAATAGGTACAAGAAAATATGCATCTTTGAGGTCTATCGAGGCCATGTAATATTTATGGCACATAAGCTTAGTAACTGTACGGAAGTCCTCCATTTTAAAATGATGTGTAATTATGTATTTATTTAGAGTTTTTAAATTTAAAATAAACCTAAAGTTTCCATTTGGTTTTGTTATTAAAAAATAAGGAGATATAAACTGATCTTTTATATTATCACATTTAGTAATTACACCTGTTTCCAACATTTGATATTTCCATAGCAATGGCTGTTTTCTCATGGCTGTGAGAATTTGGGCTGTATAACCCTTGACTGAATTGGTTTTGAATAAAAAGGTATGGTCACACCGTTAAGCCATTGTAAAATTGTTGGATGTGGATGAATTTCTTCCCAATTATTATGAAAATGTCCGAGCCTACCGGCTATTTTACTTACTAATTTCTTTTCCTGTAACGGTGGTTTTGGTTTGGCTGGAATTTGCTCGGAGGTTGTTGCCCTTTCCGCACATTCTCCCTCCTGAAGGATGGCAGGCCCCTGGAGTTTAAAGTTTTAGTACTCTTTACTACAGAATTAGCAGAATTCTTTAGTATGTTACTGTCCCTTTCTAAAATTTTAGAAGTTTTAATTTGTTCCACTAAATTAGGACCATAAAGATATTGTTCTATAGGACAAGTGTCCGAAAGGACTTTTAATGTTTTATTTAAGGTAGGAGTTATAAAGCTTCTCCTAGTTATAGACAATTTGTAGTGTAGGTCACACAAAAGTCTAGTAGCATCACCAATCGATGTTAACAATTTACTTTGGATGCCTTTATCGTGAATTTCATTAATGATGAAATTGATTGCTACCCCTAGACCACAAAGGCCTTTACCTAATTGGTTCTGATTTGATACCTGAAATTTATCTTTTCTTAATACATATTCACTTACAGCGGAAATAATTTCCGGGTTAAGAGGGGGTGCTTCAAGTCCCTTGCAATTTATAGGGAATGAATATTTACTCAGTAATTCTGAGCGAGAATTTTTACCTAGACCATTAGCTAATATAGCTGGCCATCGAGACTTTATAATTGTGTGCAACTCCATCTTCTTATCATTCGAGGTAACAGGATCATCTCCAAAGAGGTTCTGAAGGTCTTCATCTACATTTATTTGTATGACATGCTCTTGTGAGCTGTTTAAATTTTGTGTCGTATCTCGCAGATTACGATCGCTATTTGAAATTAAGAGGTTACCCTCTGGTGTTGTACCTCGCAGATTACAATCACTATTATTAATTATAGAGTTGCTACATCCTGGCGTATCTCTGGAATTATAACCCATTGCAGTATCAATTGGATTATCTGAGTGTGACTCAGCTGAGTCTGGTGTCGTATCTCGCAGATTACGATCTACCGATATAGACGCCAAAGGCGTACGAGAACGCCGTTTACGTTGTTTACAAGATTGGCCTCCTTTTACATTTCTTTTCCAGCCTCTTTATGCGCTTGTATAGTTCCCTTTTAGATAATTCTTCTTCCGATTCTGAAGATGAACATTTTCTGGACCGTTTTCCCATTATCAAAACTGAAACGCACAAAATATAAGTTATAAAAATCAAAAAATTTATGCTGATAGATAATTAACGTAGTGACTCTCTCCGGCACTGAAAAACCTATGAGATATGGCGGGTTAGAGTAGAGGGACATAGAAAGGGGAATTAAAACAGGAAACTTTAAAACAGTGACTCGATCTAGCGACTGAAAGCCGTACTACTTAGTTATCTTGAGGACGGAGCGCCGAAATATAATTCAAATGGATTTTGTTCTAAACTTGGTATAAAAAAAATCAAATCTCAATTTTGTAAGTATAAGTTAGATTATTACTTGTAGTTGTTACCAATATATATTCCATTGTAGTTTCTCCTGAGGCAGGAATAATTTGTTTCCGAAAGCTCGAGTAATAAAAAAGAGTACACTTCAAATTTGGCTTTGACTGCAGACTCGACTATACTTTAAAATTTTATTAGTTAACTTAGACAGTCGTATAACGCTTTGGCAATATATTGAAATGAAATCAGATATGAGAGAACAAATCAAAATGTAAATCAAAGGTCTATTTAAAAGACAAAGCAGTAAATATGATGGTTTGAAGTGGTTATTATTTATTGTTGTTAGTATTGAATCAGTATTAGGAATCATATTCGTTACCGATATCTAATAAAAGTTAAAATGTTAGAGTATTTATAAATAGTTATAGTATATGGTATAATATTAAGTAGAAAAAAATATTAA